ATCTTCTAATGAGTGTCTACCAAGATTATTCAAATAAAAGCCCTTGGGTCAAAATTGGCCCCGCCCCAGGGGGTCATTGATTTTCCCTATATGCATATAGTAAAAACTTAAAAAATCTTCTTCTAAAAAACCGAAAGAGCTAGAGCTTAGATATTTGGCATGAAACATGTTCTAATGGATGTCTACCAAGTTTGTTCAAATAAAAGCCCTGGGGTCAAAATTGGCCCCGCCCCTTGGGGTCATTGATTTTCCCTATATGCATATACTAAAAACTTAAAAAAATTTCTTTTAAAGAACCCAAAGAGCTAGAACTAAGATATTTAGCATGAGACATCTTCTAATCGGTGTCTACCAAGATTGTTCAAATAAAAGCCCTGGGGTCAAAATTGGCCCCGCCTCAGGGGGTCATTGATTTTCCCTATATGCATATAGTAAAAACTTAAAAAAATCTTCTTTTAAAGAACCCAAAGAGCTAGACCTAAGATATTAAGCATGAAACATCTTCTAATGAGTGTCTACCAAGTTTGTTCAAATAAAAGCCCTTGGGTCAAAATTGGCCCTGCCCCAGGGGGTCATTGATTTTCCTTATATGCATATAGTAAAAACTTAAAAAAATCTTCTTCTAAAAAACCCAAAGAGCTAGAGCTTAGATATTTGGCATGAAGTATGTTCTAATGGATGTCTACCAAGTTTGTTCAAATAAAAGCCCTGGGGTCAAAATTGGCCTGCCCAAGGGGGTCATTGATTTTCCCTATATGCATATAGTAAAAACTTAAAAAAATCTTCTTTTAAAGAACCAAAAGAGCTAGACCTAAGATATTAAGCATGAAACATGTTCTAATAAGTGTCTACCAAGATTGTTCAAATAAAAGCCCTTGGGGTCAAAATTGGCCCCGCCCCAGGGGGTCATTGATTTTTCCTATATGCATATAGTAAAAACTTAAAAAAATCTTCTTTTAAAGAACCCAAAGAGCTAGACTAAGATATTAAGCATGAAACATCTTCTAATCAGTGTCTACCAAGATTGTTCAAATAAAAGCCCTTGGGTCAAAATTGGCCCCGCCCCAGGGGGTCATTGATTTTCCCTATATGCATATAGTAAAAACTTTAAAAAGTCTTCTTCTAAAAAAACCCAAAGAGCTAAAGCTTAGATATTTGGCATAAAACATATTCTAATGGATGTCTACCAAGATTGTTCAAATAAAAGCCCTGGGGTCAAAATTGGCCCAGCCCCAGGGGGTCATTGATTTTCCCTATGTGCATATAGTAAGAAAAACTCAAAAAAATCTTCTCTTAAAGAACCCAAAGAGCTAGAGCTAAGATATTAAGCATGAAACATGTTCTAATGGGTGTCTACCAAGTTTGTTCAAATAAAAGCCCTGGGGTCAAAATTGGCCCCGCCCCAGGGGGTCATTGATTTTCCCTATTTGCATATAGTAAAAACTTTAAAAAATTTCTTTTAAAGAACCCAAAGAGCTAGAGCTAAGATATTTAGCATGAAACATATTCTAATGGGTGTCTACCAAATTTGTTCAAATAAAAGCCCTGGGGTCAAAATTGGCCCTGTCCCAGGGGTTATTGATATTCCCTATATACATAGAGTAAAAAGTTAAAAATCTTCTATTAAAGAACCAAAAGAGCTAGAGCTAAGATATTTAGCATGAAACATGTTCTAATGGATGTTTACCAAGTTTGTTCAAATAAAAGCCCTTGGGTCAAAATTGGCCCTGCCAGGGAGAAGGGGGAGGGGGCAAAAGTCATTGTTATTCATTATTTGTGTATAGTAAAAACTTAACATCATGAAATATCTTTTAATGGGTGATTTCCAAGTTTGTTCAAATAAAAGCCCTTTGGTTTAAACTGGCCCGGCCCTGGGGGCCTATGTTCAGGTGAGCGACCCCAGGGCCATCATGGCCCTCTTGTTTATTCATCTCACATGTCTTAAGGATAATGGGGGTGATTTCTGTATATAACACAATTAAATATCTATGTTTTAAGTCCTAAATCTTTTGCATGCTGCTGTTAAAATCTTGTCTGCTTTAATATTTCTTATAATTTATCTCAAAATGAATATTCAAACAAGGGCAACAATGTCAATTTTTGTCAGAGATGTGGGCATTATGGGCAATATCAGGACAATATCTGGATATTTTATCATCTCTAGTGACCTTGACCTTGCAAATATTAACCTAAATTACATGTGTCACAGTTGTAGTCATAATAGTTATAATTTGTATTACAATCCATCAGTGATGACTAAATTGTACCCGTTCACAAACTTTGACCTGTCATTGTGACCTTGACTTTGGTACCAGGGACCTGGATTTTGTGTGCAATACTGAGCTTCACAATGGTAGTCATGATCATGAAAATTTGTGTTTCATTCCCTCAATAAATGGTCCGAATACATATTTTCATATTTTTATCTGAACTTTGACCCCTGTTTGTTACCTTGACTATGGCAACAGGGACCTAAATTTTGCATGCGATACTCCTCAAAATGGTTAACATTTGTACCAAGTTATATTGAAATTCCTCTATGCATGTAGAAGTTTTGCTTTGGACAAGTGTTTTTCAATGACTTCTAAGTAAGACTTTGCCCTTTGACCTAGAAACCTGCTCAAAGTGACAAAGTTGGCTGACATCACAGAAAGTGACATTGTTGGCTGACATAGCAAAGTGACAAAGTTGGCTGACATTACAAAGTGACAAAGTTGGCTGACATTACAAAGTGATAAAGTTGGCTGACATTACAAAGTGACAAAGTTGGCTGACATTACAAAGTGATAAAGTTGTCTGACATTACAAAGTGACAAAGTTGGCTGACATTACAAAGTGACAAAGTTGGCTGACATTACAAAGTGACATAGTTGTCTGACATTACAAAGTGACATAGTTTTCTGACATAACAAAAAGTGACAAAGTTGACTGATATCACAGAATGTGACAAAGTCGACTGATATTACAAAAAGTGACAAAGTCGGCTGATATTACAAAAAGTGACAAAGTTGGCTGACATTACAAAAAGTGACAAAGTTGGCTGACATCACAAAAAGTGATAAAGTTGGCTGACATCACAAAAAGTGACAAACTTGGCTGACATTACAAAAAGTAAGAAAGTTGACTGACATTACAAAGTGACAAAGTTGGCTGACATCACAAAAAGTAACAAAGTTGGCTGACATCACAAAAAGTGACAAAGTTGGCTGACATTACAAGAAGTAACAAAGTTTGCTGACATTACAAAAAGTGACAAAGTTTGCTGACATCACAGAAAGTGACACAGTTGACTGACATTACAAAAAGTAACAAAGTTGGTTGACAATTCAAAGTGACAAAGTTGGCTGACATTACAAGAAATGACAATTGTTGGCTGACATTACAAAAAGTAACAAAGTTGGTTGACAATTCAAAGTGACAAAGTTGGCTGACATTACAAGAAATGACAACTGTTGGCTGACATTACAAAAAGTAACAAAGTTGGTTGACATTACAGGAAGTGACAATTGTTGGCAGACATTGCAAAAAGTAATAAAGTTGGCTGACATTACAAGAAGTGACAATTGTTGACTGACATTACAAAAAGTGATAAAATTGACTGACATTACAAAAAGTGATAAAATTGACTGACATTACAGAAGCTTTTCTTGGACTGAATACCTTAAATTGCTAGATTATATATATATATTATATATATATATATATTATATATATATTATATATATATATATAATATATATATATATATAATTTGCAAATGCGTAAATCAAAATAGTTATGTCTCACACACTTAAATAGAGACATTAATGGGTGAAAAACTGCTGTTTGTTAAGTTAAGTTAACGGTCATTATCGCGTCTACAAGGAGTGTTGTTTATAACCAGTTTTCGTAGATATACTAACATACTAACTTGATAGTGGTAATTTTACTGTCTGCTGATGTCAATAATAATGACAATTTCCCGTAGAATATAATTTACGCGTCTGGACTGACCAATTCCATTCCCAAGGAGATCATTATGTCTGAGTTTGGAAAGAAAAAAATTGTCCCCTGGACATTGCTTTATCAGAAATGTCAGGGAAAATAATGGCGTCATTCTTGGGCATCAGATGCGAGTTATTTATTATGATGGTACATGTGAAATAGGAAACTATTTTTTGCTTACTTAACAAGAAAAAAGTATGACCATGTCTAAGGTCAATCTCTTGTCTGGACTAAGATTTAGCTTTTTTTATTAGTTGAGGGATTACATTTCCTAGAAAGAACTTGTCAATTGTTTTTTGTTTTTTTTTGAAAGCTCACTTGATATGGTCGCCATATCTATGAACAGATTACTTGTCTACACACGTTAGTTTGGACATCTATATGTTCATGTGGTGACTTACTCATGTAATATTACTTTTTTACCATTTCTTTGTTATTGATAAATATTTCTCTTTTGTAATGGTAGAAAACATAAAATTCTTTTTATTCATACAATGAAGAAAAATGATAAAAAAAATGAAGTAGTGACTCTTAGATATAATATACTTAGTGTAGTAGAATGTTTTGATATTGAAGAAAAAAAAATACAGTATTAATTTTGTCTCTAAAAGCCATTAAGATTGTCAGATGTTATAGAAAAAATTTAATTTTTCTCATTTTTTGCAATTATGGGATTAATGTATAAACTTATATACCGGTATTCATAATATGCGACAATTATTTTTTTTAATAATGTATGATCATTTCAGGAAAAGAAAAATAATTTGTTGGAGGATATGAATTCTGATCTTGCTTTTTTTTTAAGATGAAAAAATTGCTTCAGTTTCTTATTAACATCATTCTATAATTAAAGTATAGTGTTATAAAAATTGTAAAATATTAAAAGTTGATCACTTTATAGGGCATTTCCTCTGACCACAGTTTATTATATAAGACAATTTTTATGAAAATAGGATTATAATAAGAACCAACTTATGTATCAATTTATATTCATGTTTTTGTTTGTTTTTTTGCAGTTCCCGATCGCCTCGGCTCCACCACCGTCTTATCAGGACATGTTCCGAGCCCGACCAAGTATCTCAGAGTAAAAGATCTGAGCCTGACCAAGTATATCAGAGTAACAGATCCAATGGACATCCAAAGAACAGAGTTATATATATATTTATTGTGATCTACAAAATATGCAAAAAACTTGAAAACCAGTCAATATGACATTACAGACAAAAAGTGAACTTACTGTTGTTTTCTTTGTTAAGGAACTATATAAAGAATGTTGTCTAGCCAAGACTTTAATATAGCTTTTATGATAGAAAATATAAAGAATTTCATTTATAGAAAGACAGAGTATTGTATATTGCTATTTAAAGGTGAAACCCAAATATTTCATTGTGTATATCTTGAATTTATACTAAGTTTGATGTATATCTTTAATTCAATGAATGTTCTGACAAAATATCTGTTTATAAACTAAAGAGAAATCCCCATAAAACTTACAGACATAGAAAGCTATCTAATTAAACCAGTTTTTTTTTATTTTTCCTATTTGAAAAATGTATTTAAAATGTATAAAAACTCTACTTGCGGCCAAAGTATGTAAGGTGTTTACTGAAAGGTTTGACTGTATTGTGATATATATATATATATATGTTATATAACATTCTCAGACAAAATTACAATTAAACATTTATTTTTTGTAATAACTAAAGCTCTACGAGTGTCATAAAATTTAAGAAATGATTTCATTCATTTGATAGTAACTTTCAATATTGCCAAGTCTACAATTGATCTGTCTAGACCAATTATTTTCAAGTCAAGCCGATAAACAATCCCCTCTTTATCTTATAAATTTACTGTTCTTATAATGAAACAATAGCAGCATAAAGCACCCGGGCAGAATTATTTCCAGTGCCTAGTCAGTGAAAAAGAATCAATTTTTCTAATAGAGCGGCCGTTTTCTGTAAACTGGTAACATTCATAATGTCATGGAATTAAGTGCTAAACAATATTGAAATGTCTGGAAAAGTCTCACTTTACACTAAAGAAAATGGTCACAAAACAGTCTGACTTGGTTAGTCATATCAGCTTCATATAAGCTGCACGCTCAAGGTTGTTTTATTTATAAAAGGAATACACCATTTTCTGGGTTTGCCACAGACCGGGGAAATATTATCATAAATCTCCCTCTGTTATGAAAGTAATACAAATTTAAAAGTTTTATGGGGGGGGGGGGGGAACAAGACATCAAAAACACTAGGTTGGTTATTATATTTATTAAACTACCTGTTTTGATGTTATGAAAATATAATGAAAATGAAATTTCAAAAGTTGAAAAATTATCACGGAAATACCAAAGAATTGCCATATTAATCTTGGAATCTTAAAATATTCTGAAGTATCATTAAAACAAAATATCAAAGGCTAATAATTGATATTTAAATTTCTTTTATTTTAACTTCGACACTGGTTGATAGTATGATTTATTAATTTGGCATCTTCGGGCATCATGGGAAAATCAAAGGTTATCATTGATTTTGAAAGTGTTTTACATTATGCCTCATAAAAGGCGAAAAGAGTTAACTTTATACATGTTTTACCCCAACAACCCCCCCTCCCCCACAAAGTGCACATGACATTTCAGCATTGTAGTTTAAATTGTTTTTGAAGTTGAAATTGAAATCACAATGGCACTAAGTATTTTAGAAAACAATCAATTTTTAATGACTTCATTGTGTATGTTAATGATAAAGAACAATTTACTGTTACATGTATGTTAATAGTTTTAAGATACATATTTATTTTCAGTTGTAAGATTCACTTAATTTAGTGTTTCTAGAAACTTAGGATTTTGCTTTCCTTTATAGACGGCTTGCAGGCTTTAATTTAAAGTTTTTGTTATAGTTTGCTAGGTTTTAATTTTTAGATGTTTATGATTGCTTTATAAACATGTGTTTGCATCTAATGAAACATTTGTCCATGTTATTTTTAATTATTAATTTTTTTATACTTACTTAAGGTAGTACACCCCTAATGCACTGTCTCCACTTTGAAGAGTATTCAAATAGGCTAAAATCACTGTAAAGTGTATTGAAACTGAGGGGGCGTGGGTTCAAACCCCAGAGGGGGCAATTTTTTTTCTTTCTTTTTTTTCTTTTTAACATTTTTTATTATTAATCTCTCAGACCCCCTATGGAAGAAAAAAGTGTTTTATTTTAATTATATAATTATTGTAGGTATTTATTTACTAAATAATGCCAAATTTAATAGCAAATATGATACCAGATATTTTCAAAGTTTAATAAAATAAAAACTAAACGGTAAAAGTATTTTATATTTTTCAAGACCAACCAATATACATTAAAGAAAATTTAGGCAAACTTTGAACATAGCCCCTCATTTTGGAAAAATTTTAGGGATATTTTAAATAAGGCTTTTTACATAGGGAAATGGTCAAATTAGTGTTAAAAGTGGGTGGGGTAGGGTTACATTTTTATACATATTAAAAACATTTCGTTTAAAAACAATCATTTTGCTTGTTTAATTTGTTACCTAAATGTCATTATTTATTTCTTAACAATGAGCAAAAGGAAAACATTTTTCATAATGATGATATTATAGATTATTTAGAGTTTCCTCATTTCTGAAAAAAATCCCTTCTAATGGCAAAGTTTTAGTTCATAAAAATGTCCATAACTCATAAACCACACGGTAAATTTTGTTTAAATTTTGCATACAGGTGACATTTAAGGCATATAACTGTCCTATGTTGTCAAATTTACAATTCCTTATAGTGCCCATTAGGGTTGTACTACCTTAAATGATAAGTTAATATTTTAATGATATTTTTTGTTTGTTACTTATTTAAATGATAAGTTAATATTTTATATATTTTGTTGGTTTTTTTTGCTCTGGAGTTGTGTTAATAAAAACACAGATCCTGTGAATGGATCAAATAGTAGTTCAAAATTTTAATGAAGAAAAGAAAAAAAAACAAAAAAAAAAACCAACACAAAAACCCCTGAATTATATTCCAATAACAAATTTGGCAGTTTTTTAAAATGGGATATTGATCATAGAAAGCTTTTTGTCAACACTGTTAAACATCTGTTGATAAAATGTAATAAGCACCTGTTACACCATGATATGTAAAAAAATACTCTGAGTCATCTAGATGCTTATCAGTATTTTAATGGATGATTAGATAAAAAATGTCATGAATATTTATAAATGATAGTAAAAACTTTGTTAAATTTGCTAAACATTAAGTGCTCAAAGTGAAAATCAAAATAATGTAGTGAACAGGTGTGTTTAAATTATGTATATATGATATGTGTTAATTATTTTTTTACATAATTATATATTCAAATACCGTCCTTTGTCATGTATTTATCAAGATAGTCCGTCCGTCCCTGTTTAATACATATTATATTATTTCTATATATTCCATCCATTATTGTATAATGGTGTGAAATTTGCACCATAAAATTTATTTATTTTTTTTTTTTTTGAAATTCCCACCATCTGTTTTTACCCTATTGTAGAAAGCATACTTCCTTTTATTCTATTTCTTGATGTTTGAAAATATTCCTTCTATTTTTGTATGTATAAAATTATGGTTGTTTATTGTTGTGTCTGCCAAAGCATAATATTGAACAGATGATAATTATTAAGGGGCAAATTTTATGTTGAAGTTTATTTTGTCTAACAAGTGTCAGAATATGCCAGACTGATGCATTCATGTTTTTTTTTTGTATAAACTTGATTGTTTAACAAATGCATGCAACTTTTATTAGTCACTTTGAAGTTGGCCTCCTTGAGCTAAAAAGAGTAGGCTTGAACGGACACAACCTTTGTCTATGAAACCTGAAAAACATCTTATTTTAAACCTTGACTTTTCTGGAGAATTGATGGAAAATATTTTGAACAATAATAAATGGTGTTTGTTCTTCAAAGCAGCATGCTTTCAGATGAGTCACCAAATTTTCAATTCCCCAAAAATCTTTTGTAAAATATATAACTAGCCTAAGAAATAAACAGATATTCATGTGTTGTGCAAAAATGTGACAAGATTTCTATTTCAATCACCATATTTCCACCCTAGTTATAATGAAAAATGTCTATTTCTGCATTATTTTTACTTACATATTGCATGTATGGGTAATTTCTGGAGAGTAAGTGCATTAGCTAGATTATGTACACTTGACAATATGATTACAAAATTTATTAGAAGTATTTTTGAAATGTTTGTGAAAAATTTGTGTGAATCTCGATAATTGGTATGTGCTGCTGTACAAAGTAACATTTTTCACAAGTATTATATTTAGTGTATGTTTTTATTTTTTGGAAAGTTTACAAAAAATGAATTTTGTAAAATAGAACTATATATATATATAATATTCCAGTATTGTATTTTTCATCCAATTGTTTTCAAAATTTAAAAAGAACTTCAGGCCTATACTGAAATTATTTAATATTGTTTGTTTCTTCTCCATCCTAAAATAAAATATTATAGTTTCTTCTCCGTCTTAAAATAAAATATTTTTGTTTCTTCTCTGTCTTAAAATAAAATATTATTGTTTCTTCTCCGTCTTAAAATAAAATATTATTGTTTCTTCTCCATCTTAAATAAAATATTATTGTTTTTTCTCCGTCTTAAAATAAAATATTATTGTTTCTTCTCCGTCTTAACATAAATATTATTGTTTCTTCTCCGTCTTAAAATAAAATATTATTTGTTTCTTCTCCGTCCTAAAATAGAAAAAAAAAGAATTTTTATTAAAATGTAATGGGAAGTAGATTCAGTCAATAAGAATCAAATTTCTTATATCTGTTCCATGTTTTTGCATTGTTGATAATACTGATGGCAAGCACATTCACTATTTCCTGTTTTCAAATTCCGATATAATTCATATATAAATGTACAATTTATATAAAAATAATACCTCCCTACCCAGCCCTAATTGGCACGGGTTACAGGAGGCAAAGGAGGGGAAACAAAGATATTTTAAGGTTTTATTTATTTTTTATGTAGTTTGTATATTTTCAGTAAAAGGAAGGTTTTTGAATGTCAATATACATGGATAAACAATGTGAATTTTTCTATCCTAAATTTAGGAAAGATAAAAACTGAGTTTTGTATAAAAAAAAATTGAGTACATGTACATTCCAAGATTATTTTTACTATACTTATACTTAAATTATTATTTTTATGAAGTAGATATATTTTTAGTGAAAGAGGACTCTGCATTTTATTTTATATTTAACATTCCATATAAAAAGAAGTTTGTTTCTTCTTGGTATAAACATATTATTATAGAAGAATATCTCCATTTATGTGTTTTGAGAACTTGCATGTTGTTAAAATGACATTTTTCTGGCTGAATTTTAAAAAAAGATTTGACCCGACATGTTTGATACCGTTTCCCGTTACTATTGGGGATTTGAAATTTGAGTAGCCAGTCATATGGATAGACTATATAGATGGTCACACTAGGTCGGCTTTCATATACATGTAGAGTTAGGCCAGGCCTGTTTGCACATTCATGCAGTCTGCCCATCTCGCTCTTTTTAGTAGTTTAATATTATTATCTCTAAATCTTTGAATGGACTGGTTAAAATACAAGTCTATTATACAAATTCAGCAGGTGAAAAGATGAATAAAATACAGGTTCTCAAGACATATAGAGTCTCTGTCTACCTTTCATTAATTTCTTCTTTTTATATAAAGAATAAAATATCACATACATGTAATCACATTTATATAATATTATGTTTAATAAAAAACGTTTAAAGTTTATAATAATAGACCAATATGAGATTTTCAATAAAAGTGGTTTCAAACTTTTTCATTTTTTTAGGAGGAATATATAAATGGACATGGAAATAAGGAAATTAAATGATATTGAATTCATTACATGGTTGTTTTAATTAAGTTTTAAAGGTTGTTTGAAAATAAGTTTTACAGGTAGAGTGGGACTTTTGTCCCCACATTTATCTGTTATACAAACCTGTTATTTTAACATGTTATATTGTAATTGCACCCAAGAAATCATATAAAATTTTATTTTTGCTAAAGCTATTCATATTCCAACATGAGTTTTTTCTGTTATTTTGTCATATATTTACATTATGTATATATTATATGTATTCATTATGTATGTGTTTTTGTTTTAAATGTGCGGAAAAGAAAAAAGATCTTATAAATTGAAAATGTTTGCTTTACAAAATTTAATTTTTATTTAAGTTCATATAAGTCTTTTCATTTCAAGTTCACAATTATTATATGTGCTTTTTTTTTAGTCACAAAAATCTTAAACTACACATCATTCTTTCTTTAAAACATTTTTTTCCCTACGAGATGTCACATTTTCAAGCTTATTTTCAAACTTCTATTAATTTTATATTCTAATTTTACTAAAGGCTGCTTTTAATAATAATGACAGTAGTTTGTTTTTATAAAGGAGGATCTGATATCAATATAAATGTTTGTTTTTTGTCACAATGTTTTATCATTGTATATTTTGTTATGTGTACGGAAATAAATCACTGCTGAATTAGAAACTGTCTTTTTTTTCAATAATTTAATTACTTCTCTTTATCCCTTTATGAGTTCTTTCATTGTTTTGTTTGACCTTTATAACTATGCCACCAGTCTACAGGAAGGTCAGCCTACAGGTTTTTTACAGTTGACCAACTTCAGTTGACCATCTCCAAAAATTATAATGGACAACCTTTGTTACTTTACAATTTAAGCTCCTCTTTTTAGCTCACCTGTCACAAAGTGACAGGGTGAGCTTTTGTGATCGCTTTTCGTCCGGTGTCCGTCCGTCCGTCCATAAACTTTTGCTTTAAATGACATCTCCTCATAAACCACTGAGCCAATTTCATCCAAACTTTACAGGAATGTTCCTTTGGTGGTCACCTTTAAAAATTGTTCAAAGAATTTAATTCCATGCAGAACTCTGGTTGCCATGGCAACCGA